TTGTGTAGAATTGTTCACTGGAACCAGATTTAACCTCAGAATACGTATTTGATGCACCTATCCAGTAAATGAACGGGGGGTTTCAGTCGTGTTTATTCACTGGCATATAGCCATTAATAAGTAATAAGTGAATGAACCTCAGTACCTAATAATTTTCTTATTTTTTCTGATATCCCTGAAAAAACAATATATTAGATTTCGTTATTCAGAAGACCAGCTGAAGTTGGTCATTGATGAAATTAGAAGTGGTAAAATCAGTCAGAATGCCGCATCAAAAAAATACGGAATTCCAAAAGCAACACTTAACAATAAAATATTTTGCAAGATACAGTACATAGTGATATTTTCGATTTTGACGACATAAAGAGCTGGCTCAGTAGAACACCAGAAGATTCAATTGAACAAGAAAATTATCTCGAGACTAAAAGCACTATTTTAACAATTGTCAAAAATATGACACAAACTATTACACCTAATTCAAAGGTGGATGACAATTTCCAACAAGATACACTGTTAGATGGAAATTGTTCTAAAATGGCAGACAACACTCCCTTTGAAACCACAGACATAGATGAAGCCCTAATTAATCAAGAAAATGATTTGGAGAAAGAATATATGTAATCTTAAGACTGACGATAACAGCAATACACTACCAGATAGATTTTTAAAAACTGACTGTGATACTGTTCCGACCAATTGTGATGTTAAGAATAGTAGCAGTATTAATGACCCTAAAAGTGATATATTACAAGACTCTGGAAGAAGAGAAGTGAAAATAAACATTTTGTCAGATATAACATTGACATCTGGTCCAAGCAACTGTCAATCTGTTGAAGATATTTGGAAGAAAAACTTGCATTGGCCAAAGATTGAAGAAAAAAAAGTAGGAAAAACCTTAAAAATTTAATGCCTCTCGGTTTGATTTCTAGAGAATGGAAAGAATATCATAAAGAAAAAGAGAAAAATAGACTGAGTAGATTATATTAAAAGAGGAAAGAAAACAATGCAGAAAATGAAAAGCGGAAGAAAAAAAGAAAGCGCCAGTGACAAAAAAGAAACAGAGAAAAAAGAATATTTCCTATAAGATTAGTCCTAATTCCAGTTCTAAAGAAAGTGATTCTGAAAAATCTGACAGCGAAGATCACGAAACTCGGGAAGACAAAAAAATCCAGAATCCGGAAAATCAAACCCAATACGAAGGAAATGATTTCGTTATTGTGAGATACGACAAGAAATACTTTCCTGGAAAAATAATCGATGAAGAAAACGAAGAGTATGAAGTGACAACAATGGTAGAAAGTGAAAAAGGAAACATATGTGGAAATGGCCAGAGATTCCAGATACACTTTGGTACAAGAGACAGGATGTTCCACACTGCGTCCAAAACAAAAATTTTTACAGATGTTTCGAAATTGGAAGTGTCTAGGTACACGCTAACGTGTACGTAATTCAAAAAATTACGTACACGCTAAACGTCATCACAGCGATGACGTCACGTTTAGCGTGCACATACGGAATATTTTTCGGTGCACGTTAGAACTTCATAATTTTGAGGTTGGTACTGTCGATCTGAATATTTTTCGGTGCACGTTAGAACTTTATAATTTTGATGTTGGTATTGTTGAATTTTCTCGGGAAAGCACAAGATAATGTCACTTCATTTAATAAAGTGATGTGTTACCCTGTTTCGAACAACGATACATATTTATTTGAACTAAAATTAGAACTATCACTAGAAACTTTCGGGTTTTGCCGTGCGTCTTTTAAGAAAAGGTTTGACATTTCGTTGAAGGTTTGATGCCATGTTGCAACCTTCTTCAGAAACTTCAAAGAGAACTTCGAACAAGATTCTAAAGAAGGTTGCAACATGGCATCCGAAACGTCAAACCTTTTCTTAAAAGACGCACGGCAAAACGCGAAAGTTTCTAGTGTTAATACTAGTTTTAGTTCTAATTTTAGTTCAATTAACACCGGCCGTGAAAACCTTCGTACTTATGATACATATTTAGTTGCTAAAAATTATTAAAAATGAAGTGTGGCCAACTATTTCATTCTTTTAATGACTTCATTAAAAGTTTGAGACAATATGAAATAGAAAAAATACAAAAATATGTTATTAAATATTAAAGTAAATTAAACCAAAACCTTAAATATTATGAGGTTCAATACGTTTGCGTTCATGGTGGTATGGTAAGGGTCGTGGAAAAGGTTTACGTAAAACAAGGTATGTATAATAATTAAATAAAAATATGTATTTATCATATCGTCAACGGCGTTTGATATAACACAAATATTCAATATCCATTATTTATATGAATGTTTTAGTACTTTGATGAAGTGTCCTATCATTAAAATTCGAGTTACTAAAGAAGGTGATTGCCTACAAATTAAACAATTATTAGAGAAACATGAAAATCATGATATGTCATCAATAAGTAGGCATGATTATGTATATTTTATAGTGTATTCAATAATTCCATATTATCTAACCATGTTGCTTATACACCCATCACTTTTAGGTGGTGCTTAATCATTTACCATCTAATCGTAAATTAACTTCTGATAAAAAATGTATGGTCGAGGGTTTGTTGGATGTTTGTGGAAATAAAAAGCTGATTCAGCAAGAAATATTGAATTTATCTGGAAAATTAAGTACATTAAAAGATTTATCAAATATTTCATATAGTATGAAAAACGTTAGCAACGATTAGATATATGCTGTGAAGGAATTGAAAGACGTTCACAGTGAGTATATAGATAACTATTAGAAGTATAACATAGAATAGTAACAATGCAATAAAATTGTTACATCCATTGTATTTTTGTAGTCCATTACGGGTTGGTTGCAAGCACTCTACGTCACACTATTTGCTACGCCTAGTTACCAGGCGTCAAAGTCTGTGTTTTTAGAGGTTATATGATAGACATTAATACGTCTAAAAACATAAAACTTCAAAAATAATATGAAGACGTCTAGGATATAACCTTTAAAAATACAGTAAACGCATAGACCATAACAATAGCTGAGCGTGGAAAATGGTGTGACGTAGTTTGCGGGCAGGTTGTCACAACAATGGATGTAGCAGTCCTTTGGTTATAAACCACTTTTTTTTGCATAATGTAATAACATATACATCTTACATGATTCTGAAAATCATTTTAAAGTCCTCTATTTTTCAACTGAGTCCATGAGAAGGGCAGTGAAATTATTATCCACAATTTGTGTCAATAGATGGTACTTACAAGTTATTAAATATAGGATTTACAGTATTTATTATGATTGTAGAGGATTCAAATGGTCAAAGTGAAATAGTAGCAGTTGTTATAACAGCGCACGAGGACAAAGAAACATTTTCTTGGTTGTTGAACACCTTTAAAGAAGAGAATTCTGATTGTGAAAAAAAAATAAAATGTTTCATGGGTGATAAGGATCTACTACAAAGAAATGTGATAAAAGACAGTTTTCCTCAAGCCCAGGTATTCATTCCTCATTACTAAATTCGTGGCATTTCTTGAGAACAAATCACTACAAAAAGTAACCTAGTCATCACACCAACAGAAATAAACCATAGCTTTAGCAAATGTCAAACTGTTTATTTTTTCCTTACTGATCTTCCGATAATACAAAAACACCACAACAATTTTTCTAGAAAAATGCAATCAGATCAAATTGCAAAAAGTAAAGTTATTCATAAACCTTGAAAACAGACAAATCCAAATATATAAGAATATACAGGATGTTCCATTTAAAAGAATAAAGTAGGTGGCGACTTCCGGTATAACCGAAAGTGCTAGAAATCTGAAAATATTTTAGTCGAAGAGAACGCAATTGATAATACTTAAATCTATATTTTTAAATTTTTATTTTGGCCAGAATCCTGTATAGTTCTAATGGTTGGTCGTCGTGGATGACGCTGTATTATTTACATCATTTATAACTCATAACTTATTACGACAAAATTATACCTATTTATTATTGCTGATACAGAAATATGACAGACATTTTATTATTACATATGGGAAAAACGGTGAACAACTCAAAAGTATTCATTTTGTTATGCGTAAAAACTATAAATTAATAAAGAATACATTTTTATAATTTTTTTGATAGTGCGACTATTCTCGCCAGGGTGCGATGTAATATGCTCTTTTGTTGAAAGTGAATGGTTAAATTATTAAGTTAAGATAGTAAGAACAAAACCGACAATACTTATACAAGCTTAAAACTTCCAAGTTATTAACGTGTACCGAATAATATTCAATATACGCACGCTAAACGTGACATCATAGCTGTGATGACGTTTCGCGTGTATATAATTTTTTAATTTGCGTACACGTTAGCGTGTACCTAGACACAGCGTTCTAAATTTCCTAATGATATTTCATTCTGCAACCATAGATAATAAGGAACATGCAGAAACTTTGAGATACAAGTACTAGGAACAAGCAACATGAACACAATATTCCTTTGTGTTCCTTTCGGTGTGGATGTAGCTTAATACACACTTACATAAATGTATCAAATCGAATTAAAACTTAATAGGTTTTCCAACGAAGATTGTTTCATAAAATACAAGCATTAAATAACAAAGCACTTCATAACTCGATTAACCGAGTGGTCACTAAAATATAATACGAACTACCGCCATCGGTTTAAAGTTTACCGTACTACCTAGCTTCTTTCATTACAGTTTCCTGTAATAGGTTAAAAATTAATTACTTGATAAAAGCTTTTAGGTATACTACTTATGCTCTATAAAATAGGTGAATATATAAATAGCACATCTATTATTAATAACAAAAAAATGTTCATTATAAATAATTATTTATTTTCACCTGAAGTTATATAAAATCTAATAACAAAAACAAAAGTACAATAAAAACATAACCTATTTAAGTGATAAAAAGCGTAACGGTTATCAATAAAACTTTATTGAAAAAATTTTGATAAGAAATAACCAAGATAAGCGTTTGAGTTAGAAATAATCCTAGTCAAAGCCGGAATTACAAATATAGCATCAGGGAGTAGAAATACCGGGACCGCGGCAGCGTTTCGGGACGCTCAGTTGAAACGACGACGGGCGTCGAGCCGCACTTTCACGTTTTTGGGACGTCTCTTGCGGACGGAACGGCCCGAAAATGGACCCGGAGGCCTTCCTCGACATCGCCAACCAAGTGGTGAAACTGAAGATGTTCCCCTATTTTGACGTGGCGCATTGCACGTTATGCGCCCTCGCCGTCCGTGAAGATCTGGGAAGCGGTAAGTTGGAAATCCGCCGGCGACGCCCGCATTTGAAGACGACGGCGTCGTTGTATTTTAGATAAAATTTTTTGGTTGGTGGGAATGAGTTAATGAGCTACACGGCTTTATGTACGATTGCTTAAGGTTGAAAGTTGCGCGCTTTTGAATGTATAATTATAGATTTTCTTACCAGGCGGTAAGAAGTTTGGCGCACGTGTTTTAAATGACCAAAATCATTATTTATATTGCAGTTATAAAAGATAAGTTTTCCCAGAGGTGTTGTTTAAAAAATTTGGATCATGAACAAATTATCCTAATAATCTGAATTAACCATTTTAGGTGCACAAGCATTTTCAAGAAAGCACCCGTTAGCTTGTTGGTTATCATATATGTTGGTAGTATTTGCTGGAGGAATGGTAGCAAGTGGTTTATTAGGAGAACCAATTTTATCTCCACTCAAAAATACTCCTCAAGTTATGGTGGCAACATTAGTTTGGTAAAAGTAGTTATTATGGTGTAAATGTTTTTATTGGATTATTTTTTTGATAGGTACGTCATCTTTTATACTCCCATCGATATAGGGTACAAAATAGGCAAGTTCTTGCCAGTAAAACTCGTGTGTTCAGCAATGAAGGAAATTTATAGATGCAAAAAAGTATACGATGGCGTTAGCCACGCTGCAAAAATTTATCCTAATGCATACTTAATCATGATTCTTATCGGAACGGTTAAAGGAAATGGAGCGGGATTTGTTAGGTTGCTCGAACGATTGATTAGAGGAGTTTGGACGCCCACTGCAATGGAATTTATGCAACCATCTTTGTAAGTTAATCATACATAGCCTTAATCTTATTTATTTAAATAAATTTTTCTTTTTTTAGTTACACAAAATCTTGTATTCTTGCCTCGATTATCTTTATCTTGGACAAAAAGACTGAGCTGATATCGGCACCTCATGCTTTGGTATATTTCGGCATCGTCATATTCTTCGTCTACTTCAAATTGTCTTCCATACTATTAGGAATACACGACCCATTCGTGCCATTTGAAAATCTTGTTTGCGCTCTATTCTTTGGAGGAATTTGGGATTCGTTGGCCAGGATTTTTGGTCGCGGACAAATTAAGGAAGGAGAAACCAAAGATGTCAAGAAAACTAATTAAGTACTATCAAAAAGCGACTTTCAGAGAAAATCTCGGTTTTGTGTGGTAATCGAAATTTTCTCCTGTCGGAATCGCAAAAACGCTAAATCTTGTACAGCCATCGCATTTGGTCGCAATAATTTTTAATTTAAGTTATCGTACCGATAATTTTCGAAATAAATAAAAAAATCGATATTGCACTATTTTTCTGGAATCCAATCCTCTTAATAATATCCAAATTGTAAAAACAAATAAAAAATATTTTATTAGATTCAACTAAAATTACAACTAATCATCTTTGTTTAAAATTAAACAAACACCTTGTAAAACCCAATGGCTTAAATGTTCGGTTGTGCCTAAATCAGCTTCAAAAACCAAACCAACTCCCATAGCATTTCTTCTTTGAGATGTCGTATACACAGGTGTTCTCAAAGTATTTTGTAGTTTCAATCTAAAAGATTCGATCGGAATAACGCTTAAAACGGGGAGGTTTTCGACTAAAATTTTAGGATAAGATCTTTGTAAGCAATCTGCTTCTACGTCCCATCTAGCTCCTTCCAAATAAAGACCATCAACTAAACATTGTCCCACTTCTGGTCTTTCTTCAACATCCAAAGGATCGACGAATTTTGTTACTTTTGTATACAATGTTGAACGATCTAAAGGCCAATTATTTTTTCTACACGCAATTTGCACCAATGCGGCTAAGTAAGTTTCCGGAATATGCAATCCTGATATCCAAAGAACCATCGGATCGCCTTGAACAGTCTAAAAGTGAGTTTGTAGTGAGAATAAAAGTGAGCAATTAATTTTAGACTTACCCAATTAAAATACTGGTCATGCCTTTTCAAAAAATGTATCATCCATCCACCTAAATTCTTACACGTTGCTGGAGCTAGTTTTCTCCAACAATTCGGTAATTGGCCATTAAACAAAGAATACCCCACATTATCCAAAACCGCATCCATACCAATTTCGCCAGCTAAAGCTCTTTTCAGATTCTTTAAAGTCCTAGACATTGTAGCAATTATTTTATTGAACCTTTCAAGTTCTTGAAGTAACACAATGATTGATGGCGTCATCGTTAATTGAAATGCTCTTTTCACCTTCCATATTTCGTAAAGGTCAGGCATATGAGATAAAATATCATCAGCTACGTTCGCAATGAATTCTTCCCGGCTAATTCCTTCACCTGATCCCCCAGTTTGTGGCTGCAAATCCATAAGAAGGCTCCACATATCTTTAGTAGCGTTGGTATAGTAACCAATTTCGGCGTTGGGATGTAACCCAAACACTTCAGGGTTGTTTGTTAAAGGAAGTTGATCTATAGCTGCAATGTAATCTTCTTGTGTGCCATCCGCTGGAATGACGTAATCAACGACTTTGTCGTGGTAAAAGTGAAATGGTTGGAATGTATCGAAAAGAAAATCTCCCATATACTCGTCCATGTAAACTCTAACAATCCTTCTATCAAAATCGTCTATAACTCGGCCACCATACATCACTTCACCAATTAAATATTTCAACGAATTCCAGGGTATTCTGGTGTCGTGAGCTTTGAATGCTTTAGTAAGATAAGTGTCCAAAATTAGGACGCAGACTTGGAAATCAGACTCGTTAAAATCATATCCGATATTCCAACCAATTTTATCGTACTTTCGCCTTTCTTGTACAACAGCATGAAAAAACGCCAAAACGAAAATCAACGATTTGTAGGCCGGATGAGGACAGGATTCTAAAACTTGAGGTCTTAATTTAAAATAGGTATTTCTCAAATTAAGTTTTAAGCCGTTAGGGGGTTCAGTAACAACTTTTAACGACCGTTGCAAAACTCCGATTGGAAATGATGGTGTGGGATCCGTTGTCATCCACAATCGGAAGTCTGGATGTGGTTTCGTAAACTTTTCCAAGTGTTTCTCCAAAGTTCTTACAAAACTCAATAATAAATGGCAATTTTGAAGGGTTAACCACTGACCCCGAGAAACCGCATTCTCCAATAAGCTAATAGCAGCCGGTTCTTGTCCTTGCCCCAAAGATAGATATTTAAAGTTATCCACACCACCACCAAATCTATCGCAAAGCTTCATTAACTCGGCTGTGGGATCAGACCCGGGACTTAAAATAAAAGCCACTGGAGTAGTAGGCGAACTTTGTTCATAAATGTTTTCGAAACTGATCACAGGAGGCATGATAAATTCTTGTCCCATTGTAACACTGATGTAGTCGCCAACTGCTCGAAAAACACGATCAACTCTAAAACATCTTAAAATCATAAGAATTTGGAACGGTTTCATTTTTCGGGAGTATCCACACGGAAATTCAACTGATTCTGGGTCATCTAAATCATACCAATGGTTCCATTCGTCAACGTTCTTTTCAATCTCTATAGGAAGATTTTGGAATGTATCACTAAAATCGGTAGCTAACTTGAGAACGTCACTCCATCCTTTTTGTGACAAAAAGCTAGCTGGAGAAAGTCTTGTTTTTTCTAACATAACGTTTCCTTTGATAAAGAAATCCAATTCAGCTTGAGTAATGTGCCCGGTTTGTTGCTCTAACTTCGTAGTCATTTGAAAAGAGAAAAGTAATTTGTGCTTTTCAAAAATACCTGTGCATCCGTAGTCATAAACACTTTTAGTTAAAGTATCTATTATATTCTGAAGCCTCTTAGCTAAAACAGTGTGAGGTAACGCTTTTCTAAGGGCATAAGCAAACACTCCCAAATAAGCGGCTAAAGCATATTGGTACATAGCATTTACTCCCGCCATATCTGATAGCACAAAAAATAAGATTGCCCCTCTTTTAGCAACGGATCTATATCCATCTCGTAATTTGTCAATTTCAACTGCTGTCGTTTGTGCTAAAGCCAATTTACTAATAACTTCAAAAGCTTTTACTTTGGTATTTTCCAATGTGCTTATCAACTCAACATTATCCAACATGTTTCCTTGTGAAGTTGAAAGTTCTCTTAATAATGAATCTTCAAGTTGTTGTAATAAGTTTTTGTTCTCGCTTGTTTCAGCAATTAAACATTCTCTTTGTTCCTCCAAGTCGGGTCTTTCATTTCTCACCACGACACTTAACAATTGGTCTTCTAATCCGGACATGGTTACCATATAATTAATAACGACCCCTCTAGCATACGCAGCTGGATTGAACATAGGATTGGGTAACTTTGTTGTAAGGTACATTCTGAAATTTGGATCCCAATCCACTTCCTTATCACCCAAAATAACAAATGTTCTTCCGCTTACGTATTTAATTTTTCTTTCCAATACGTTATCGATAACCGGGTCGATATATTCGTCAACATCTTGAAAAATTACCGGGTTTCCATATTTAATGGACATATCGAGAAATTTTAAAAAATCTGAATCATTGAAGCTTAAAAATTTAAGTCCATTCTTTTCTTCCTTCTTTTTAATCCATGTCAGTGCTTGAAGTTGTGGATCTATACAAATAGGAAATCTGGAAGCTCTAATAGTTAAAATTCCATTTTGAACTGATAATTCATCCGGTGGTAAACCCTCTGAAGACCATTTGCTTATTTCGACATCGGTAGTAAGAGAAGTTTCTAATTTATAATTACTCGATAATGGAATTTCTTTTGCCTGAACATCTTTCAACCAATCGTCGTAAATCATTTTCTTACGAAATTCGTAACTGAATGGCCCAGTGTAGCATAAAAATTCTGCAGACACTAAGCAATTTCCAATCAAACGTTCCTTCTCTAGGTGGAGATCTTTTAAATCTTCAGTCCATCGAGCACGCTCAGAACTTAACCCGCTGATTAACTTATCAGCAGCTTCTAAACGTCGCATCATCAAATCAGTTTCTTCTTGTAATTCTTGTCGCTTTTTCATAGCAACTTCATATTTTTCATTGAGTTTATTCAAATCATCTTCTAGCTTGGCAATTTCTGCATATAACTTATTTAATATTTTCATTGCTGCATCGAATTCTCTTTGCAAACTCTCAACCTTCTCTTTTTTTGGTTTTATATCTTTGTACACAACGCAATAACCTAAAACAGCATCCACAAACTTCAAGAGACCGTATCCAGCTTTACTGACTTTTTGCATATCATCCAACTTTTTTGAAGTTTTTAAATGGGCTCTAACAGCTTTTTGTTGATTCTGGGTAATTGCGTCGGCATTTAGTTCTTGCAAAGATTTTAGAAATCCTGGATCTGACATCATAGCCTTGGCACCCTTCCAATTTACTTCTTTAAGTCCTTTTATGATAACAACACACTCACAAACAACTTGAACAGCTTCTGGGGGAGTTGCAAAGGATCGAATTTCAGTAATATCACTTTTATCTAAATCGCTTAGAGCAAGTCGAGCTTGTTCTAAAGCTGGAAGGGCAGCTTGAAGTGCTTCGTTAGCTTCGCCTGCCTCTACAGTAATTACTTTCTTTTTTTCTTCAATTTCTGCGCTTTTTTCAGAGGCGATGTTTTTTTTCTCTGTGGCTTCGTTTGTTCCTAACTCAATTTCTCCTAACATTGTCTCACAAGCGGCAGTAGCTTCTCCTACAATAACTTTTTGCACAGCCAATTTTGCATTGAGCTTTTCCAGTTCAACACTGGCTTCTTCAATTTTTGTCATACCTCCCATTAAACGGTCGCACTGTGCGTTGATGTATTCCGTTTTTTCATCCATCAATTTCAAATAAGTATCAATGAAATCGAGGTAATGTTTAGGTGTGACATAGTTTCTTCTCCTTAACTGTGTCATGAAGTCATTGGTGTATTGAATTATGATTTGATGGACGTAAACTACATGGGCAACAACTGGATCTCGATAAATTTCTGGAATACGAGGATTGTCTTTAAGGAAAACCGAAGCTACAGCAATTAAAGCTTGTAATGGCCACGGGAATAGCCAGTCGATGGTGGTATTGTTCACTAAACCTGGAAAAGATCTACACCGCTTTGATAAAATATCACCAGCTGGGGACATAGATAACACCACGTGCAGATTATAAGTGCAAGTATTCACGTAATACGCCCATACGCCATCTTTGGTGACAGGATATCCTGCTGCGCTCGCTTTACCTCTAATTTGACCAATCACTTGATCTTTGTCGTCGTCGGTAAACAAAGATGGAATCATACCAATCATTAAAATGTTATTAATAAATTCTAAGAAACCTTCTTCGATAACCTGAGCTGCCGTGTATAAGAAAACCGATGGTTTTCCTTCAATTCCCAGTTGATTAAAAAGTTTCTTCAAGTCATCTTTGAAACTTGATTCATTATAACCACGGCTTAATTGAATTTCGAACATCTCACAACCAGCCGTGAAAGCCGCAAGCCTCGTTAATGATGCTTTTCCACTGCCACCCACACCGACAATTAAGACATGCCCCCTTTCCATTCTGAGAGCTCGCTGAATCCTAGTGATATGTTCCAAAGCATCATTAAAAAGAACCAAACTAATTTTTTCCTTTCTCTCATTGTATTCCTCGATAATTTCTTGGAACAGCGAATTAACAGCTTCATAATCTAAAAGGTCTTCGTAAAATCGTGCTTCACCCTCGTTTATTGCATTTCTGTAATCTCCAAAGAGTATTGGATCTCGCATTGCATATTCTAAAACGTCTATTTTTACTTCTTCGCCTTCATCATCACCATCAACTGGAGCTGCTTCTTCGGGTGGTGCTGCTGCTTGACTCTCTTCATCATCATCGTCATCCCCAGCTGGTTTTGGAGGAGGTCCTGCTGCAGCCGGAGCTTGCGTTGATCCATACACCTGGCTCAACTCATCAATAATGTGGTTTCTCATCAGTTCATTATCTTCAGCCGAAATTAATCGATCGCAAACGACCCTTGAGAACTCGTTTCTCCACAAACGTACAATTTGGTGTTTTGTGTCATAAAACTTTGGAACAGATTGACACATTCCAGCAACAATTCGGGATAAATCTCGCATGTTGAATATGTAGTGGAACTTTTTGGGTGTTGGGGGTAACTCGACGATTATCATGTTATAAAGGTGTAAAGTTATAGTTATTAAAGTCGCACCTTGTTGTGCGTCTGGATCAAAAATGGAAAGGTGACCTGTTAAAATGCTGGTGTAAACGTGTTGCAGCGTTGATTCGCTTGGAAAAGGAATGTTAATTACAGTAAATTTAGCCATAAATCTTGGATCGACATCATTACGACCTCCTCCAGCGACTCCCATAGCGGCAAAGTAGCTGATATCTTTAATTATTTTCCAATTTAAATCTTTACCTCTATCGTACAAACCACCCTTTTCAAATAAAAGTTTTAGAAGTGCTATTGGTTGCTGGGTCCCGTAATCATCAACTTGTGGCATATTTAGGTCATCTATAAAGCAAATCAATTTTTTCCCCATCGGTGGTCCATAAATATTTTTTGTTCTTTTCTCAACTGAAGATTCCAAGTTATTTTGAACATCCATCGAAGTTGTTCTCGAAGAAAAATTGATATTTAAAATAATAAAAACATCAGAATCTAAACTTCGTAAGAAATTTTGAATTACAGCTGTTTTTGATGTACCCGTTTCACCAACTAATACAAGCGGTCGTTTTATATCGTCCATTTTCTTTAAGGCAAACGTGGTTTTCATTGTGTCCACCGTTTCAACTAAAATTTCAGAAAACTTTTTGTTCCTATCGTGTACGTAAGGTGGTACCAACCATTCCCAAGCGTACCAACAGTAGTCATTAATATCTAAATAATAATCAAATAATGATGGAAATGTGGTCGGCATTTTCCCAACTTTAGCTGGAGTTTCTAGTTTGTCCTCTTCACCCATAAATGGGCATTGCTTTTTAATATATGTATCAAAGTCTTCTCGGGAAGCAGCTACTAACGGTGCTCCCAATGACCAATAAATGCATTGCAAAAAGATGCTTTCAATTAAATTTTCATCTACTTCATCGTCCGGTGTTCGAGTATCTTCTTCTGGTTGTGGGTAAATAGAGTCATAAAACATGCATAATTGAGTGAGCATATTCAAACCAGTTTGAGGTATAACACATTTCAAAGGTGTCACTTGCTGCAGTCCTAATAGACCCTCAATAACATAAGATAATCCATCTGGAACATATTGCTCATAAACTCTTTTAAGAGTTGCTTTTTCGGGTTCAAAGTTTCTAGTTGTTAACCAAGTATCCCAATAAGGTTGAAAACCGAGATTTTTAGGATCAACATAAACCATCCCCGCCCTAGAAACGGTAGCGGGGGAGGCAAATTGCAAATCCCCCACTTCAAATAGCAAAGAACACGTGGGATAATTTAATCTAACTCTTTCTCCATTGGCTAACGTTAACAGTTTATTATCATCCATTACGGAATTCATATTTTCAATCCATAAAGCATCGACGTCTCCATCGAAGATAATGTAACGTCTTTCAATTTTTTCAGTCGGTTTATTTATTTCTCTAAAAATATTGGAGAGCAATCCATCCGTCCAATCACGTGTTGCAGGATCTAATATCCCATAAAGCTCAATCACCGTACAAGCTTTGGGATTCATTGTTATTAGTTTCGTGGGATACCCAAGATGTGTTTGTGAATCTGCCAAATTTTGAATGACAACTGTTTTTCCTCCACCAGTTGGACCAACAATCATCGTGCAATGTCTAGTCATCATAGTTTCGTATAATTGAACAACTTTATCACATTGATCAGCCAAGACTTGGAGATTCCTCTTTTTAAAAGAAATTTCAACAGCCGCGTTGAAATCCGGATATCCGACTCTTGGACAATCCATACCCGGGAATAAATCCCTAATTAATCCCAAGAACAAAGGAACATCTTCAAAAACAAATTTGGGATAATTCATATCACGCAAAGCTCTCATAAGTACTAAAGCTTCGGAAATATCCGGCGAAGCGCGTTTTACTACCCCAGCCATTCTCAGGACCGCATTTAAAGCTCTTAATCCCCAATCGTAATGAAATTGCTTAGATAATTGTTCTCTAGCTAATTTATATAAAACGGTCATTTTTTTAGCGAGAACTTTCGCTTGGAGAAATCCATCCGAAAATAACGAAATTAAACATATTAATTCTAAGTCCGGTAAAATACACACGACAGGTCTAAAAAGGGCCTTGACAGACTCTGGCAATTCGGTTCTTCCAGCGTATCCAGGATTCATGGTGATAAAAATTCCCACTTTACAATCCAATTCAATTTCTTGGCCTTCGAAGAAAAATCGTTTTAATCTCAAAACAAGCGCGCTTCGAATCGTTTGTAATTGTGTGGAAATGACGGAAAGAACTGATATATCGATTCGATTGAACTCATCAAAACAACCCCACGCTCCACATTGCGCTAGACCCGCCAAATTAGTACCTATGGCTTTATAGTCCATACCTTCTCCGCAATTGGTTACTATACAAAGTAATCCCATCGCTTTAGCCAAGTCTTTTGTCGTTTCAGTTTTTCCAGTTCCTGCAGGTCCGGCAGGTGCTCCACCAAGATGCATTAATAAAGCTTGAGTGATTGTTAAATAAATCCGATCTGTTAATGGAGTAATCACTAACCGTCCGTTTAATCCCATGTATTCATAACCATAATCAAAACTTCCCGTACATTGAGTAACGCCGAGATTATCCGACGCATTCACCCAATAAAATCTTAATTGAGACTCCCAAGCGAATTCTTGAGCGTCAGTTACGCTGTCCCTTACAAAATTTTCTACGATATCTCTGGAGTGTACCTCAATTGTGGCAATAGTTTTAAATTTTGCTCTATCATTCCGATTGAGATCGGCACGTACCGTAAATACAATATCGTCTAACTGTTTATTCAAAAAAGTTAAATATTCTTTCATAGCCCTTTTGTTACCCTTACTGAATTTAACAAATACATTTTCAACCTCTGCAGTCCACCAAACTTGATTTGACACTAGACCGACCATTCCTTGATAATCCATCATCCACTTCGTTCGCGGACGTTGGGTTTTCCCATAATCGTATATGGCTGTTTTAGTTATAAAACGATTAGCTTTGCGCATCTCTCCCAAGACTTCAGTCATCCAATCTTCAACTTTCCCATCTGTAAATACCGCTGTTCTAAATTCCATTACTTCTCCTTCGCAAGATATCATTGCGCTGGCAACCATGCGGTCATGATTATCTGGACCTAATCTTAAAGATTTTATGTTATCAAACATTTTCACCATTTGATCTTGAACGATCGCAGGATCACTACTACCTAAAACTGATAACAATTCATCCGTTGATATAAAGTAAAATCTTGGAAACCGACGTCTTTTTGAATCTAGATAATCATTAAGGGATTTTTGACATCGATCTAAGCCAAAACTTAATGTTTGAAAATCAACCAATCTACCCGCAGCTGTGCAACAGTCTATAACGTTCGGTTTTTTAGCTGTTTCCAACATAATTTTTTTAAACATCTTATCAATATCGTCAAATTTTTTTGCTTCATCTGGAAGTTGCGTTCTAATGTCACCGCCGATAAAAATTCCTTCAAGATAAAGCCACGTTCGTTGTACGAGAAACCATTCGTCGATCACCTCGCTGACAAGAGATAAATTCTTTTCCCATTTCTGAACTATTGGAAGAAAAGGCCCCACATATTGAGAGCCAGACATGCTTTGCAAATTCATTGAATTATCTTCTAATATCAGTAGGATATCATCCACAGGTCCTAGGGTAAAACCACGTTCTTCCGTGCCTCTCATATGTTTAAATACTGTAAAGTTCATGTCTGCCCAAGTATCTATTACATCTTGAACCCCTTTTTCAATACCTAATTCTTTCATGGCTGCATTAATGATTTCTTCAGCTATCTCCTGATATTTATAGAGTTCCATTGCAAACATATTATCTAAAGTAAATCTATCTGGAGACATATCAAAAAATTGTCCAGTTTTCTCCATTAGTTGTTTCCAATGTCTTTCCCTTAATGCCTCATTTTTTAATGCAACCATTAACGGGACTGTGCCTTTAAAGTTTTTCATCAATAAATCAAGAACTTGCGCAATCGGATACGACCTGACCTCTTTGGATAGTTTTCGGAAATCTTTTAAAAAAACTTCAATGCCGTCTATTAAAGCTTGGGGATTTAAATTAGCCCAAAGAGTTCTTCCCCAAACGTCTCTAGCACATTTTTGAGCATTATATATTTTGTAGATTTGTTCAAAACATTTAAAATCATCATTGGCTCTTATAAATTCAGAGTAATCAGCCAAAGGCATATCAAAAAGCATTTCCGCGTTGACCAAATCCAATCGTTGCGCTTCGAGTTCGTCAAAAGTTTTAGCATATTCATCCATCAGTTTCAACCCGGAATCCAAGTCTTGATCGACAGCTCCTGGACCCTCGGCATCAAATTTAGCCACAAAATCGGCGATGATGTTACTAAATTCCGAAATTTCTCCTTCAGTAATTGACGCAAATCTACCTTTGGTTGATTCTAAAGTTTGAGTTCTGAAAAGGGATGTTTTATAAATTTTCTTCCACTCATCTTCTAACCAATACGCAAGTTCTTCATCTAATGGATCATAATAAATATTGTGGACGGCTAAAACTTTATAGGTTTCTTGAAAAGTTAAGTATTTTACTTCTGCGTCAATGGTTTCGTGCATTGCGTGTGATATTGCCAGCATTATGGCTTTAAATTTTTCAAGGCCTCTTATATTCATATTAATAATATTCCTCAATTCGAGGACGTGATCTCGAAAATCGTACATTTTTCTTTTGGTTAGCGCGGCAAATTTCCCACCTAAAATTGTTTTCCATTCATCGCAATGAAAACAAATCGTATCGATTAAAGGTTTTAAGTTAAGTCTTATCGATCCAATGTCTTGGTACGTTTGTTTAGCGTTCATATCGTTTATAATGTTTGTATAAAAAATAAATTTATCGTCATACGAAGAAAGATTTGCAGTTTTCGCGATAAAATCATCGCAGGTCTTTTCTTTCTCAAAAAACCATAAATAACGATACTTTCTCCAATGTATAAGATAACGTTGTACGTCAACGATACTTTTCATACAGTTTCCTTGCAGTTTAAATAATGAATCGTTGATATCCGGTACCACGATGACATCTTCGTAGAAAGAATGTACAAAGTAATCTTCGCTGTCCCCAATTCGTTCCGGGGTACATTTAAGACACATGTTGTCCATCCATCGAGGAAATACACGCAGTTTATTTAAAAAATCTTTAATGCTTCTTAAAATCATGTTGTAAATTTCTTGAGGGGTCGGTTTTAGGTAAATTTCTGTAGCAGAAACAACAGCGTCCACTTGAAACATCAACTTTTTGTTGTAAAACTCTGCGTTAAAGAGTTCCAAATTGTTGATGGTCATTTTGATGAACGCTTTATATATTTTATTCTCCCAATCGCTGTAATACAACCTCATATAAGGCGATGCCCCAGTGCAACTATTTAAAACCAATGACTCTAATTTCATTAAAATTGGTCCAAGTGTATCGTAAACTTTTGACATTTGGCAAACTTTTTCTGTGCGATATTTGTCCAAAGTGTTAAAAAATACTTTTATATCTAATCTTACTGGATCATCTTCAACAGGTTTATACCAAAACAAATTAAAATTCTGTAAAATATCGATCTTATCTTGTAAATATCTTTCGTTGTGTTCAATTTGATTAACCAAACCCCATAAAAGTCGTATCTTTTTATGACACTCTGCCGTGTATTCTTTGATTCCCAAAGAGTTCCAATTGATTCTTGATAAACCAGGTTGAACACTTGTTTCGATATCCTGAATTAAATCTCTCAAGAAATGTAACTGAGGAAGATTTAAGTGTTGTACAATTCCGTTGTATTTATCCAGCATATTTTCGACGGCCTCAACATCACCTTTAAGCCGAAATCTTTGAAGTGCAACATTAATTATAGGCTCAGGCAGTTCAAATCCTAGATATTCCATAAGTTCTGCACCAAGTATACAATGATAAATACTTGTATTAAAATTTAAATTAAATTGAACGTTTAATTCAGACATCATATGTGGCCCCATAATATCATACCATGTACTGTTTTGTTTGGAAGCAAGTTTGTCCATTAAAGTAGTCGCTGGTTTACTACCAACCATCCACTTCATGGTATTTCCAACGGCAGATAATCTTATTCCTCCTTTATTAGTCTCGTGAACCTCTATTTGGGGATCCGGCGATAAAGAATCCGTCGGATTTATAGCTTGAGGAGGCTGCGGTGTGCGATCTAAAAACAAACTTTATTTTGGAGATGTCTAAAATACAATAAATCGTACCTGAATCGCTAACTAAACTACTGGTCACTTTCAAAACATCGAGATGCATCGTTGTATCAATGATTGGAATCGATTCTTCGACCCACTGTTCAAATTTGGCTTGCTCAAAAGCCTTCAACGTTTTAGCCACTTTAATATAATTATCAAAAGCTTCCATTTTTAGCCCACATCCTTTTAATTCATCAACTTGTTGAAATTTCAGCACTGGTTTTTTTAAAAAATTAAAAAGGAGTTTTGCCCAAAATATGCCCCCGCCATGTGGAGGATGATTTCTAGCTAAAATTGGTTCTCTTTTGTGCAACTAAAAATGTTATTATTATTATATATCGCTGATATGTCATCGTAATTACCAAAAAAATGTATTCAACAGCTCCAATTTCTTTACCAAATTGATCCATAACCACTTCGAATTTAGTCATAAGCTGATCAAGAATAACCTTCCGCGTTTTAATATGTTTGAATTTAAGCAGCATTTCTAAGGCACCTTCAGCAGATCGTAATGTTTTAAAACATTGGTCTATAAAAGTAACCGCTTCCCTTTCTAAAATCCTAACCTCTTTATAAAAATATCCCATAACAGCGTCCCAATTTTCCTTGGAGCTTTCGCGGAATACATCAAAATCTGCAGTTTCAATTGCGTTCACCAAATGAGTCACCCTCCTCACCACAGAATCAATTCTTTGAGGATCGTTTAGAATACTTTTTAATTCTGCCCCGAAAATATTACTAAATTGATCGATTATCTCAGCAACGGTGCCCAAATCTTTACAAACTAATGCAATGTAGTCACTTTCACCAAACAACTTTTTCTTATCAAATTCCCATCGTTGAGATTTTCCGGACAGTTCGATTTTGTCTCTTATATCCAAATAAGCATCTTTAAAAGTTAGCAACATGTTCCTAGCTTCCTGAGCTTCGCTACTGATTTGTTCAACTGGTTTTCTAAAAAGTTTTGTTACATCTAATGTGGTTCTCGCTTTATCGCATAAACTCCAAGCTATACGTTCTAACAATGGGACCATTTGTTCGTCAGTACAATAAAATCTCGATAAAACCCAAATCATTTGAAGCCCTTCCATTAATAAGGGAATACTTTCCGTAACTTTAATAAAATCAGTGCAATATGCAACAATCTAAAAGACAGAAACGTAACCTTTGATAAAAACTTAATAAATTTACCTTAAAATATCTTAAAACTGTAGATAAGAATTTCACATTATCTCTTGCTTGACTATAAACTTTTTTTAAATCATCTTTGTAATAATCAAACCCGCTAATAATATTTGAATTTGCCATTTCTAAAAGCCTACAAATTCTTACTGATCGAGGTTTTTTAAGTTGCTCAGTTATAGTGCTTAATCCAGATTCACGTTCTCTCCAATAATCATACTCAGGGATAGGTCCATTTCCAACTGGAGTCTACAAAAAGATTTTATTTTGTTATATTCGTACTTCAATTGTAATTAACTTATTTACTTTAGCCATATACGATTCAATAGTTTTAGAAATATGCCTTTCCCAAGACATGACAACCTCCTCAAGATTTTCAATTATACCCTTGTCTTTTATAATGTCTTCATCCGTTTTATCGGAGATATCAGCACATTCAAAAAGTAGTTGTTGAGAATCATCTTCAACGTGTCCTATAGTCCTTAATTTTTAAAAATATTATAAATACTTATAACTCAGTGTAAAAACCTTATTGAAAAAATATCATATATTATTTTTAATTACCATGAAATTGAATCCACCAATTGTTGCAAATCATTCAATAATTCAGTTTTCATAGCTGTTTTTTCAACGCCAACAACAGCACCTGCATCATCCATATCTGCGTCAGATATAACAAGTTTGGAACCTTTACTTTTTTCAGCCATCAACGACATCTTCCTATAATCTGATGGTCGTTTGAAATCGCCACTAGAATTTGTAGTAATGGTGTCGGCATCATCTTGAACTGCTTTTTTTTGTACTGGTTCGCGAAATTGTTTGTCTACTAATGGTACATTTGCCAGGACACATTTTGATAGTAGTTCGGGAAGAAATTTATCAGTGCATGTTGTAATGAAAAAATATTGAGGCATTTCCGCATCCGCATCCTCCATCGTTTCGTAATTGGGAATACCATCATCGGATTTTCTTAAAAAACACACGTATCTTCTGTCTTTTGAGGCTGGATTATCTTCTAGTAATCCAAAAAATCCGTGAAGTACATAAACTTTTACAAGTTCTTGGATTATTGTCTGAAAAATTTTGGTTTAATTTAATTTTTTTTTTGTAAAAAATTTATTTACTGGAACATAAATAATTTCCTCTTCTTCTTCAACCGGTGGTTCCTCCTCTGGTTCCGGTTCTTTCTTTTTTCCTTTCTTCCCTTTTCCCCCTTTATCCTTATCTTTTCCTTTCTTCCCCCCTTTTTTCTTTCCGCCACTTTCGTCTATAACTTCCGTTTTATCAGTTTTTTCAGACATGTCAGTCTCCGTCATAGCAGTTGTATCCTCTTCTTCAACATTAGGTGTTATAGGTGTTGTAGGCTGTGCTTCTTCACCTTCCAAAAATCCTTCGGAAGGTGCAGATTCCTGAACCTTTTTTCCCTTTTTATTCTTTTTGCCTTTCGGTGGCGGTTTTTCTTCTACTGGTTCGGGGATTGGAGCGTGAAAAGAAGGCTGCTTAACTGAAAATTTCGTTGGTCATTTTAAAATGGATGTTGTACAGAATTATTTTTTTTAATTTACCAACTACTGGTACTAAAATTTCTTTATCGACAAGTTTTTCATAAGATGTACGATAAACACAAAATAATCGTTTAGCGCTTTCCAAATCGTTAATATCATCCTCAAGATAAGTACTAAGTAGATCATCTAATTCGCCGTCTTCCGATTGAATCATATCTTCAAAGTAATCATTTTCTGGTGTATTTTCCAAACCTAAGTAGCAGGAAACTTTATTTTTTACCCATTCTCGGCGGCAATCCATTTTTGGGTTCAAAAATGTCTGTTAGTTTTGACAATTTATTTGTTGGGTTTGTTTTGTTACCATGGAAACATATAATTCCTTGGTAACTTGATGGAAAATGATAAAAATAAAAAATATTTAAATAAATATTAAAATGTGATTAAACAATTTATTTTAAAACCCTATGATCCATAACAAATCTTTTTTTAATTAAAAAAAACATTCGATAATTGTTACCTGGCCGAGCTAAAAAGGTAGTTAACGAGCGAAAACAGTTATTTAAACATATTAAGTTGCGTAAACACGGTTCGATTACACTTAATTTCCCCTTTTACCGTATTATACCACCGTTACCTAACCATCTCAGTTCATTTCAAACTTATTCTTTCAAGAATCCGGTGTAGTTCTCGATATCGCAATTAAATTTGAAATAAATTCAAATCGCGCGCCCTTTTCGCTGTCAGATTGATGTCGTTGCCAACGTAACGATATGCAAATGCACTAAAAAACGAACGAAGCAAATGTCATTACCGTGACTTAACTGGTATTTTTAAGCATAACCAGATTAATTATATATCGAGGGGCGGGATGGTGGTGCCGTGAACTCGAACATTTTACGACTCGGATAAATAGATTGGGATCGTTTCGAAAATGGCAGCTAGCACGGAAATCGATATATTAAAGGGCGAAATCGAAAGGTTAACTCGCGAATTGGACCAAGCCAGTAGTGAAAAGGTTCAGTCGGCTCAATATGGATTGGTTTTACTCGAAGATAAAGGTATTTTACAACAAAAGTGCGAAGAATTGGAAGTCCTTTATGAAAGCTCCAAACATGAATTACAAATTACACAAGAGGTTAGTAAAATTGTTATTTTCCATGTTGTATTTTGCTTTATTAAATAAGGGGTACTTATTCAATTAGCGTTAATTGCAATTTTTTCATTCAAACCAAATTTGTTGACTTCAATAAACAAACTACAGGTTCATTAATTTTGATTACCAATTATAGGGAGTTTTTGTTGGTACTACTGCGTTTTTGACAATTTGGATTTTAAATAACCTTAATTTTTGATTAAATTTGTTAATAACAGGCATTGGCAAAATTTCAAACTAGTCATAGAGAGACAACAAAAACTGGCATTGAAACTGAAGAATCTTTACTATCCGAATCGGCAGCTAGAGAAACATCCCTTAATTCTCAAATAATCGACTTAGAAAATGAAGTAAAACAACTCCGACATGAATTAGATCGTGTAACGACTGAGCGTGATCGAATGCTTCAAGAAAATGCAGACATTGGAAAAGATAAAGAAGATCGAAATATGGAGTGTAAAAAGCTACGAACAGAATTAAGAGAAATAAAGTATAGAGAAACCAGATTAATTACTGATTATGCTGAATTAGAAGAAGAAAATATCGTTTTACAAAAACAGGTGTCTATGTTGAGAAGTTCCCAAGTTGAATTTGAAAGTTTAAAGCATGAAATAAGACGATTGCAAGAAGAAATGGAAATTTTGAATTCACAAGTAGAGGAATTAACCCATTTAAGAAAAATCGCTGAAAAACATATGGAAGAAGCTTTGGAAAGTTTACAATCAGAACGTGAAGCAAAATATGCATTAAAAAAAGAATTAGATCAACACATAAACAGAGAATCATTCTATAATATAAGCAATTTGGCATATAGTATAAGAGGAATAAATAATGAAGAAGGTTTAGGTTCTGATGGAGAAGATGATATCCCAGGATTAAAACGTATTGAAGCTAGTCTTTCTGATGGATCTGGTCAAGATTTAGCATCACCCGATGGAAAACAAGTAGATTTATTCTCAGAAGTCCACCTAAACGAATTAAGAAAATTAGAAAAACAACTAGAACAATTAGAAAAAGAAAAAATAGGGTTAACCCAAAACTTGAGGGATTCCCAAGCAAACGTAGAACGTAGCCAAGGAGAACTACAACATTTCTTATCTCGTTTATCTTTATTAAGCGCTCATGTAGATTCACTTCAATATTTGAACCATAATTACGACAAGAACATTACATCATCTAAAGAAAAAGCGAATTTACTAATAAGTCAATATCAGCAATGGTTCAAATTATCCGCGAAGGAAATTGAACAATTACGACAAGATTTGAAAGATTTAGAAAAAATTACTAGCTCGCCAGATGCTACCCAACAATTAAGGACGGAAATTACCAATTTGAAAAATAAGGTTTTAGATACCGAACAGAAATCTTTGGATTTAGAGAGCGATTTGAAACTACTTAAAGAATTTGCTAGTGACGCGGGAACTTCCCTTGATGAAACCCAAAATAATCTGCAAATTGTTACTGAGGAATTAGCGCAATTGTATCATCACGTTTGTACGGTTAATGGCCAAACTCCTGATAGAGTGGTTTTAGAACATGAAAAATTGGTTACTCCTAGTAAGTATAAAAACGTCATGCACTAAATTTTATCTAGATACTCTATTTTTTAATTCGGAGGAGTGTTTTTAAATTGAAGTGCCAAAAAGAAGGGTTGCTATTGGTCAGTTTTAAGCAAAAATTACAGTTTTCTAGTTCTAGGTCTTGTGTTAGTTCTAAAACTAGAAAGTTTTGAGTTTAGCTGTGCCTCTTTAGACGCAGAAACGGTGTATAGTTCATTTTTGATTTTTTTTTTCTATAATATCTGTCAAATTGTTGTAAAGTTTGTTACGCCTTCAAAACAAATTGAGAAAAGAAGATACAAAACAAAAATAAATTGATTCCTAATTCCCAATCTAAATAATATGAGGTCAAGGGGACCTCGGCTAGTTCAGGGTTCATTTATTTGGCGCCACACCATTGAAATCCCTTGACCCACACTTATGGTGAAGTGGGTTGTTGGAAAAAGAGAGGGAAAAGGAAATTTAAAATCAAAATAACGATATAAACAATTCTATTCAAGAGATGCAAAGGTAACACAAAAAAAAAATAAATAAAGTTAATATGAAAGATAAAAAAAAATCACAAATCAAATTCTTTTTATAAGAGATAAAATGGGAAACAAAAATATCGCGAAACTTAATGATTCGCCCTTAATAAACTTAATGATTGATTTTACATTTTCTTATAAAACTTTTGAACAACAAAAAAAATATGTTCGTTTCCCTACAAAAATCGTTGATTTAAAAAGAAAATTGATACGTTCTGACCTTGAAATTTTGTTGACGATGTGGTTTCCAAAAAAAAACTAATATCCTCCAGGGACGATCTCCACAGCAATAGCAGTAATCCTTCTTCGTGAAAGGACAATGATTATTGCAATGGCTTAGATCTTAGGTTTCACAAACTGTCTAATTTTTGCTCCTTTTAAATAGGATATGAATTACCCCAAAATTAAAAGCCTAAAGTGGAAAGAAAATCGAAAACGATGTATTAGATTTAATTAAGCAAAAAAAAAAAATATTTAAATTTGATCACAAATGTAAATGGATTAAAGATAAATTAAATGACTTTAATAAACGTTAAAAAAAAAACTAGACGAAACCTATCTCCGATCTTCGAGGCCTTAGTCAGTAAAAAAAACTGTTTAATTTTCGTTAAAATAATTAACTCCGGAATAACTCCGTAAATTTATATTCCTTCAGGAATTATAAATAAAATGAATATCTTCGTGATGACTTCGCTAACAGCGGATATGCCCAAAATAATCCAAAAGTTAAATCACAAAACTCAAAAATTTTGGCAACAAGTTCACTAGATATGTCTTTAACGACTGACTTGGTAAAAGA